ACACACACACACACACACACACACACACACATTATGGGATTCCAAGCATTTACTTCCTTGGCCGATCATCGTTTTTCAGCGAGTCCACAATTACTTGACTTTCCGTCTGTGTCGCAATACATTTGTCCAAAACCCGCATTTTAAGTACCTTCTTTGCGATGTTCAAACAATTTTGTCCACATTTTCTTCAACTCCTGATGGTGTCCTAATACTTTTATTATGTATGTTTTGTTTTTGTATTCTGTTTTTTTGCTCGTTGCTTTCTTCGAATATTTGTTTGACAACTCTGAGATGAAGGCTTTCTTGTTTTTTTTCCCTTTTTTTTTTTTTTTTTGTGCTAGCCTGGCATCGGTCCGCCCCAAAGTGTCCAGCGGAGTAACAGATTGTCGGGGCGACGCGAGTGCGCCAGGCTCAGCGGGGTGGCATCCCGCCAGCATGCGGGCCAGAGACGTACGCCGCCCGGGACTGGATTCGGCTCGGGGCGGCGCGCTAACATGGCGCTAACATGCTAACGACATATGGCTGTGATTCATCGCCTCCTCGGAGGTGCTTGTCACAAACGTATTACAAATGGGGGCCTAAAAATGACATTTAGTCCATCTTTCAGGAGAAAGACCACCCCTTTATGGTCTAATGTCTTCTGCGCGGCTTCAAGGCAAAATGTTTTTCAAGCCAAACCAAGCTAGCACTTATCGTGAGCACTTAATGGATTTGATTGCTGGATTGTTTTGATGTTGTTGAAGTCGGTACAAGCAACAATTTGTGACGGAGAACGACCGCGAACAACGTACAAAGCATAGGCATCGATGTCTTTATTTTATTTGGTAAGGTTTATTTTGAAGTTGATCTTTTAAACCACATCGGCGGCCTGTTACTGTCATGCGTAGCATAAACAATTGTAGCTGTGGTTAGCTTGAAATATTCTTTTTTTTTTTTTTTTTTACCAATCTAGATACCCAAATTACTTGAGGACTCGTTTAAACCTTTCCAGGGTATATTTCAACTCGGCCATGTCACGTATTTTACTTATTGCAGGGGTGCTCCTGGAACGTAAGTTATCATGACTTATTTTTATATAATGTTAAATATGCATTGTACCACTTTTTAGGTTGACAATTGCATTTTGGCTGCACTTTTGTCGGCAAAAAATCACATTTTGTCATAACCAATAGAATTGTCCAAAGACTGACAACTCAAAATATCATATTTGAGTCGTCGTATGCAGCCTTTTTGGTGAGCAAACATTGAATTTTAATGACAAACGACTGCACTTGGCATTGAACACGGACCTGTTTATCATTTCTGTGACAATACACATTCGCATCATTTTGGTGAAAAAATCAAAACAAAACAATGCAACAACATCATCGGCTGGTCAACTGTCATTTTGGTGGGCAAATGTTGCACTTTAGTGTCAAACTCGAGGATGAGAGAGTCACGAAAGCGAAGTGCTGCGGTGGCTGGAGTGTGGCGTGCATGCAGACGAGCGCGACTCCTCCAGCATGAATGAAGAAGACGAGGAAGATGAAGATGAAGGCGGCAACATGTGCCGGAGCTTCATCAGTATTCCATCGCTCGCTCTCGGGATGAAGCAGCTCGTCCCTACGCGCCTTTGACGCCGCCACGTAACACGTTGCTTGGGGAAATTAAAGTTGACATCGGAACAGGAGGGAGCTCATCTAGTTCCTTCGTAGAAATCCTTTCTAACACGCCAGTGCTTTGAGATACGAGTCCAAATTGAGTTACGTGTGTGTTTCCGACCCCCACTGCTAGATGGTAAACATTAGCAATGTCTCACGTTGGCTTTTTGTTTGCAAATTGTGAATGACAAAATCTTTGAAGTGACATGGAAAAGGACGGTTAAAGATTAAATCAGAATGGCAAAAAAAATGTGTGACAGACATTATTTGTGGCTGAGTTGATTTTTTTTAATGACCTAACATTGACTGCATCACAATAAATTTATAAAACACATTTTTTTTAAATGATGACAAAAGAAAAATGTCATCTTAATATTGCATCATAGCCAGTTTATTATTATGATTATTATATTGGAGTGGAAATAATTATTTATTGTAATAATTATTGTCACTTTGGTTTTATATGATTATTTTTCATACTTTTTTTGACAAATGTTAACAGTGGTTAACTTCTTTTTACACTTGCATGACAGTTCATTAATCAATTAATTCATGTATTTCAATAACTAATGAATAAATAACGTCATAAAAACAAAAAAATAAATCTAGCCTTAAATCTGTAATAATTGATCATAAAGAGTTTATCTTTATTATTCAGATAAAACTGACACATAACAAAATAAAAGTGTACAAAATATAAGGTTTGCATTTTTAAAAATTAAAAAAAAAAACTTAAATAAAACTAGAAAAAGAAATCTAATCTAAATAGATCAGTCATAATGTATCCGAGCCAGATTGTTCCAGTGATTATTATTTCTATTATTATTTTCATTGTTATTATTTGTCTTCATTCAATTGAATTTACACCATGTTATTAAATAATTTCAATTCAATTTTAACACAGCACATCAACGGCGCGCACACAAGTGTGACGGCGTGCGCGCGCACGCACACACACACACACACGCACACGCACATGCACACACGCTCACCATGTTCTCGAGTTGGTGGAGGTGCGAGGTGGTCTTCTTTTTCTTCAGGTGTTCCACAGAAGAACATCAACAAACGCAAGAACCCCCAAACAAATACAAAATCAGTCCACACGCGCAAGATCCACCGCAAAATCTGAAGAAAAAAAAAGTCCCGATAAATAAATCCTTGGCTCACGTGCACGGGTCTCCTCTTCCGGTGCCGTCCAGTGGTTCCGCTTGATCAGCCTCGGTGGTTGTCCGTCAACAAGGAGAACAAGAAAAGGAAAAAGAAGAGGAGGAAAGGCAAAAGGAGAAGAAGGAAGAAAGCCGTTGAGCTACGCGCTGATGCTCGCTTGTCGTTCGGAAAACTTCGGAGAAGCTCGGCTATTTCCGGAAAGCCCAGCTCGCGAGTTGATTGGTGGATTGATTTGGCGGCTAATTTGTGGCGCTCACTAAACACACACACACACACACGCACACACACACACACACACACACACACACACACACACACACAATGTATGTTCTAAGTTCATGATTATTTTTTAAAAACAATAAAAATTCATCAGTTAAATATCTTGTCTTTGTAATGTATTAAATTACAGATCGGTTAAACATTATACTCAATTATGTATCTGCACAAAGTTGTGGTCAACCAGCTCCACTCTCCTTTTTTTGCCCCCCTACCCTCAAGTTGAAAAAGCCACCAGATGGCCCCGCCCTCCTAAGGGCATGCATGCTAATATTAGCTTTATTCTCTCAAGGTAGACTTCCAGTGGCAGATGGCACGAAGCATTCTCGTCACTGCACAATGTCCCTCTGCTCGCCACCGCAAATGATGCAGATTAGAAACAAAACAATCATAGAAAATCATTCCAAATAATTTGGAAATCATATAGAAAGCAACAAAAAGTCTTAAAAAAAAACTTGAAGTAAAAATACATTGGTGAGCCCTATAAAATTGCAATAATAAAATAACGAACGAAAAGCATAGTTATTACAAGATACAAACATGTTAAATGTACAATTTTATTAAATGTTAATGTAAGGCAAAATTGTGCACTAGCTGACATCTAGGTGCTACTAGTACTGCTAATTGGTAAAATTATATGTCACTCATAGCCTAACTAGTAGCTTGCAGCGAACCAGTGCACTTCTTTCCGACTAGTAACATATAGTTGAACTACTTGTATGCCAAAGTTTTTTCTACTCATGAGGAATATGCGCACACTAGTACTTAATCTAAATATCAAAGAAATGCTCAAACACTGATCGTTTATTTGTGTGTGACACATAGCACTAGTAGTGGGAAAATCATTACGAAAGAGAGAAAAGTTGGCTAACTTTCATGGTGGTGGTAGGTGTAATGCCTTGCCTTTTCCAGAGGGGGTGCTGTGAGCCCAAGCACTAATGAACGAGTATTGCCCAGGAGCGGTGGACTGGCATCGGGGCGGCATCACAGGCAGCTAATTGACTTCTTCGCTTGCGCTCGCCAGCACGCCAACAATATGACCATCAACGTGGCCGACGGGATGCCTGCAAAATTTCACAAATCAGGAAAAATCAGCAAAGGGAAACTAATTTAAAAAAATCTTTTGATGAAAGCTGGTGCGGAGCCCAGCTGAGGTGGTGTGCACTCTGGACTGTTCGCAAGTCAATGTCAAGGCACATGTAAGCAAACAATGGACTGGGCACATATTACAAAACCTGTGTCAAAATCCGTTCAATCGCGTCGAAGAAGCATGGGGCAACGAAGGCTACGAAAGTGTACTTTGGTTTTATATGATTATTTTTCATACTTTTTTTGACAAATGTTAACAGTGGTTAACTTCTTTTTACACTTGCATGACAGTTCATTAATCAATTAATTCATGTATTTCAATAACTAATGAATAAATAACGTCATAAAAACAAAAAAATAAATCTAGCCTTAAATCTGTAATAATTGATCATAAAGAGTTTATCTTTATTATTCAGATAAAACTGACACATAACAAAATAAAAGTGTACAAAATATAAGGTTTGCATTTTTAAAAATTAAAAAAAAAAACTTAAATAAAACTAGAAAAAGAAATCTAATCTAAATAGATCAGTCATAATGTATCCGAGCCAGATTGTTCCAGTGATTATTATTTCTATTATTATTTTCATTGTTATTATTTGTCTTCATTCAATTGAATTTACACCATGTTATTAAATAATTTCAATTCAATTTTAACACAGCACATCAACGGCGCGCACACAAGTGTGACGGCGTGCGCGCGCACGCACACACACACACACACGCACACGCACATGCACACACGCTCACCATGTTCTCGAGTTGGTGGAGGTGCGAGGTGGTCTTCTTTTTCTTCAGGTGTTCCACAGAAGAACATCAACAAACGCAAGAACCCCCAAACAAATACAAAATCAGTCCACACGCGCAAGATCCACCGCAAAATCTGAAGAAAAAAAAAGTCCCGATAAATAAATCCTTGGCTCACGTGTACGGGTCTCCTCTTCCGGTGCCGTCCAGTGGTTCCGCTTGATCAGCCTCGGTGGTTGTCCGTCAACAAGGACAACAAGAAAAGGAAAAAGAAGAGGAGGAAAGGCAAAAGGAGAAGAAGAAAGAAAGCCGTTGAGCTACGCGCTGATGCTCGCTTGTCGTTCGGAAAACTTCGGAGAAGCTCGGCTATTTCCGGAAAGCCCAGCTCGCGAGTTGATTGGTGGATTGATTTGGCGGCTAATTTGTGGCGCTCACTAATACGTCAGTCGTGATGTCATAACACTCGAGTCACATTTAACAATTTCGAATAGAGAATGTTTGTGTTTGAACAGAAAAAAAAGACTTAAAACTAATCCTTACGAATATTTTTATGGGTAAATAATACACGTGAATAGTCATATAGTAAGAAAACAATTGAAATACATTTACAATAAAACACACACACACACGCACGCACACACACACACACACACACACACACACACACACACACACAATGTATGTTCTAAGTTCATGATTATTTTTTAAAAACAATAAAAATTCATCAGTTAAATATCTTGTCTTTGTAATGTATTAAATTACAGATCGGTTAAACATTATACTCAATTATGTATCTGCACAAAGTTGTGGTCAACCAGCTCCACTCTCCTTTTTTTGCCCCCCTACCCTCAAGTTGAAAAAGCCACCAGATGGCCCCGCCCTCCTAAGGGCATGCATGCTAATATTAGCTTTATTCTCTCAAGGTAGACTTCCAGTGGCAGATGGCACGAAGCATTCTCGTCACTGCACAATGTCCCTCTGCTCGCCACCGCAAATGATGCAGATTAGAAACAAAACAATCATAGAAAATCATTCCAAATAATTTGGAAATCATATAGAAAGCAACAAAAAGTCTTAAAAAAAAACTTGAAGTAAAAATACATTGGTGAGCCCTATAAAATTGCAATAATAAAATAACGAACGAAAAGCATAGTTATTACAAGATACAAACATGTTAAATGTACAATTTTATTAAATGTTAATGTAAGGCAAAATTGTGCACTAGCTGACATCTAGGTGCTACTAGTACTGCTAATTGGTAAAATTATATGTCACTCATAGCCTAACTAGTAGCTTGCAGCGAACCAGTGCACTTCTTTCCGACTAGTAACATATAGTTGAACTACTTGTATGCCAAAGTTTTTTCTACTCATGAGGAATATGCGCACACTAGTACTTAATCTAAATATCAAAGAAATGCTCAAACACTGATCGTTTATTTGTGTGTGACACATAGCACTAGTAGTGGGAAAATCATTACGAAAGAGAGAAAAGTTGGCTAACTTTCATGGTGGTGGTAGGTGTAATGCCTTGCCTTTTCCAGAGGGGGTGCTGTGAGCCCAAGCACTAATGAACGAGTATTGCCCAGGAGCGGTGGACTGGCATCGGGGCGGCATCACAGGCAGCTAATTGACTTCTTCGCTTGCGCTCGCCAGCACGCCAACAATATGACCATCAACGTGGCCGACGGGATGCCTGCAAAATTTCACAAATCAGGAAAAATCAGCAAAGGGAAACTAATTTAAAAAAATCTTTTGATGAAAGCTGGTGCGGAGCCCAGCTGAGGTGGTGTGCACTCTGGACTGTTCGCAAGTCAATGTCAAGGCACATGTAAGCAAACAATGGACTAGGCACATATTACAAAATCTGTGTCAAAATCCGAACAATCGCGTCGAAGAAGCATGGGGCAACGAAGGCTACGAAAGTGTACGCCAAGGCAGCGTTCGCGCGGGGCCCGTCTCCATAGCAACGAATGCCAGATTTAAAGGCAATATTAGAAGCTTCCGTGAATTTAGATACTGGCATGCGATCGAGGCACACTGTATATTACATCATGTGGCCTTTGGAGCCGAGGAATTCTGACACATCAGAGGTGTGGACACATTTTGAAGAAAATTGGGTCCCGAATAACTAGTGTTGTTTGCGCACCGCTTCCGCGTTCAGTGCGTCAGAGTGGACGTACCATGGAGTGTTCACGGTGCCTTTTCCAATTTCAAAAAAGGTAACTATAAAAAAATAGAGATGTTTAATGATCCCGCGTCGTAAAAATGTGAACATCTTTCTGTGTTACTAAGTATTAGAACAACGAAACCATGACGAGTCACGCAATTTTTTTCTCCATTTCCGCATACGTCATGGTTAACGTGACAAAATACAGGTGTCTCACTCAAGGTGACTTTTGCAAGTTTAAAAAAAAGTAACACAACAAGACCTTATACTACACACTTCAATACATTATTGTTTGTGTAAGTGTTCGAAAAACGAAAGTATGGAGTCACGTGACTAATTATGTCTTCGTTGTACTTCCGCTTACGTCGCAGCTGCCCGCACGTGAAAGTTTCGTGGACTTGTTTGCAGGGGAGAGAAGATAAACTTTCCGGCATGTCGTCGTCATCATCCTCCGCGGCGCTTCGCTTCTGCGCTAACATCAGCTGGTTGTTCACCGAGCTGCCAGACTTCCCGCAACGGATGCACGCAGCCGCCGCTGCCGGCTTTCGAGCGGTGGAGGCGGCCTGGCTCTACGATGCCGACCTGCAGGAGCTCCGACGGGCCAAAAACGACCACGACCTGGAGGTCGTCCTGATCAACACGCCACCCGGTTGGGAAAACTAAACCACACCTCCCATCCCCGTCCTTGTCCCCATCGTCATCGCATAATTACGTGTTGCAGGTGACGTCACGGCGGGCGAGTTGGGCTTGGCGGCGGTACCTGGAAGAGAAGAAGACTTCAAACGAGGACTGGATCAGGCCATTGAGTACGCGCGAGCTCTGGACTGCAAAAGGTCACACGCAGCACACACAGAAATTAATCCATTTGTAAATGTCTGAAATTCTTGATTTAATGTCAGTGATTCAATCATTTGATTTAAAAATATTTTAATCTCATTCAATTATAAAAAAGGGGACTGATTGAAAAACTGTAGAAAATAAGAAATATAAACAAATAGCTTTGTAAAATTGTTTATTAATTGTAAAAAAAAACAATTAGCCGCTTTATATGAGTTACTTTTTAATTTAAAAAATTCTCATGGCTAAATTAAAAACGTCATTCTTTTAAATTTCAATTTGTCATAATAAGGCCAAAATAAGGCCAAATTATTTTTTAGCATAATTAAAAAAACAATTGTATATATTTATTTTTCACAACGGCTATACATTTGAAATAAAATTACAAACTGAGTACATTTAAAATTGAATAATTATAGAATTAGTATATTCAATTAAAATAAAATAAAATACAAATGCAAACTGGATAAGTCGCCTATTTGTATGAGTTGCTTGCGGCGTGGTTGACATGTCAGGATCCATTTGATGGCCGGCCGGATTCCGGCGGGAGCGGATGGTGGCAAGGCAGTCATCCAGGAGATGGAGGAGGTGTTCGTACGGAACCTCAACTTCGCTGCCAAAATGCTCTCCGAGGTGAAGCCGTGGACATGTCGCCGAAGCAACTGCTGAACGCGACAACAACAAATTGAACTTCCTGTTGGCGGTAGGAAGGAATGACCGGCCTGATCGAGCCCATCAACACACGGCTGACTGACGCTCGATATTTCCTGTCGTCGCCTCACGATGGTAAAAACATGTTTGGCTCGAGCCAGATAAAAAACAAATCCTGTCTCGAGCTCGTTCTTTGTGCACAGCCGCCACCATCTTGGGGAAAGTTGCCAACGACAACATCAAACTGCAAATGGTGAGTGGACGCTCGCCGAGTGTTTTCTTTTTTATATGTCGACTTGGTAAACGTCCACATTTTATACTTGCAGGATGTTTTCCACTGGCAAATTATGGATGGAAACCTGACGCAAAACATGCAGCGATATCTGCCACTGCTGGGTGAGTGATGCGTTAACCAACGAATCAAATTAAATTAAAAAGGTCTTAAATAATGAAATGACATTTGAAAAACAGTCCTAAAAAGTTTTCCATGAAAATGAAAATGCCATCAAATCACCACAATATGACTTGTGGCCACCGATGACATCATCAAAACGTCATTGTGACATTTTGGCGCCAGGTCACGTTCAGGTGGCTCAGGTCCCCGGCAGAAATGAGCCGGACAGCGCCGGCGAGATCAACTACGACTACGTCTTTTCCATGCTTGAGACGCTCGGCTACCGAGGCTACGTCGGTTGCGAATACAAGCCGCGAGGTGGGCTCGCGTGCGCCATTACCAGCATTTTCAAACTGCCGCTCCATCTTGTCAACCTTGCACTTGCCCTCTTCTTCCAGGAAAGACGCAGGATGGTTTGGGTTGGCTCCAACATTACTGGACACGCAGGAAATGAGGCTACACGGCAAAACGCTAAATCACGCAAAAAAATTGAAAAGTGATTGAATGAACGTTTGTCTGATTTATTGAGCATTTGTCAGAGTGCATGAAGTGGCCTGTATCGTTTACCAAATAGATACAGTATAGAAGAGCTGCAATGATTCACCCACAGTTAATCTATTATTAAATTCATCAACAATTATTTTTGATAAGCAATTAATTGTTTTGATAGCTTTAATTAAAAACTGCCCTCATCCTCGGCATTTAGGCTTCAGTGTCAATATTCTCCAATTGCCTGTTGTCCTCCATGACTGATTCTTTGTTTTGAATAAAACATTTGTTCTTACTCTGGAAAAGAGTGATCAACATTTTTGCCTATTTTCCGTCACGGACCCGAATAACTAGATCACAATTGATTTGTTTTCTGCACTGTTAATTTGAAATGAAGTCCTGTATTTAAATAAAGGGATTGACATTTAAATGTTTAAATCATTCAAAAGAATTATTAAATAATCATTAGCTGTAGTCTCAATGTACAGTGCTTAGGACACGGGTGATACAGTTGAAGTTTCTGTTACGGCCTCCAGTGTTTGACATCCTTCAGCTCGCCGCGCGTGTGTTTATGTACATTTGGCTAACAGTGGCACAATTGAGCATTATGCCATTAACGACAAAGGGGAGAAACCCCCCCCCCAAAACCCTCTGGAAATGTCCTCATCAGACTTTGTGCTTCAAAAAGTTAAAAAAAGAAATAGCAAGGCACTTTTGGGCAGTGAAAAGCAAAAAATGTAAGGGGCTGTAATCCCAGAACAAACACTGACGTGGTAGCAAAGTCCAGCACAAGGCACTAAATGTCCGCAGTCCAGATCCAAGCCAGAGTCCACAGTCTGGCAGTCAGAGATTCTGACTTGCCCCTGAACAGGAAACGTGCACGATGGATGAGGAATCCAACATGTCCTTTTCAGGGACTGGGGGAGCATGCAGGTCCTCAGTCAGTCAGTCTTCGACTCTGGTCTCAATCTGAGCAATATAAGTGCCGAAACATTCAGACGGAGATCCTCTCTTTTTTTTTTTTTTGGGTCATGTAAATGAAATTTGAACCATCACAGCAAACGCACACAGTTAGTGGAGCAGGGTGCTGCTTAACTGCCCGGGAACCAGTTCGGGGTACCAGGGTCTTGCTTAAGGACACTGCAGACCTGTGTCCGGGGTGGTGGTGGTCTTGGTAGGGCACATTTTTAACCACTTTTCCATTTCACACTCAATGACTGTATGACGTGTGTGGTGGTCATGTGATGGACTGGTGACCAATCCAGGGTCCAAAACCAGTCAGTCATAGACTCTGGCTTCCCCCTTGATGTTGATCAAGAGATGAAAAGTTCCGTGGTACCAGGTCTGAACGTACGTTATGGTGGTCCTGTGATTGACCGGGCGACCAAGCCAGGGTGCAGCCTGCCTTTGAAATGGCTGGATGGAAAGTCTCACGTGTTGAAATTCATTCCGGACTCTGCTCATGTGGGAATGTCGTGTCCAGTTTTTCAGCATTGAGTACAAAAGCCGCAACACTTCCACGCACCGCCTTGTCGATCATTCCTAAGCGTGGAACACACCTTGCAGACCGACAGGACCCAAAAGGAGTCCAAATTCAAGAATAGTTTAAAAAATATGATGGACAAATGCCAAAATAATTTAAAAATGTTTTCCGGCAGCTTAGCTTAATGCTAGCAGTCCATGACGCAGCTTCTGGAACTAGCCAGCTTGCTAACAACATCCGGCGCAAACTGGCTTTTTCTTCAACTCCGGGATGAAGTTGAGGGAGAAGGAGCATTGGTTATAAGAGTCCGGTCCAGAGGTTGTAGCAGGCCGTGTTGATGACGGACTCCAGGTGATGGTACATGGAGACCAGCTGAGGTGGCGGGCTGCCGCCGTCCTGTGGCTGCGGCGGCAGCGGCTCTCGCAAAACTACCTTCAGGCTCTGCAACGACAAAATCATGGAAAATGCACCGGTTGGAAGAGATGACGTCATCTTGACTACTCACCGTTTTGCCAGCTTGGGCGTCGAGGAAGACCAAAACAAAGCAGTCCGTGAACTTCTGGTTCAGAACAGCCTGCAACAAAGAGACAGCGGGTTAGATCGGATGCATAGTTACCTATCCAGTTTTAGGGGGTGGAGGCAGATGAAGTCTCACCAGGTATTGAATGCCGCCGTCGTCAAAATGGCGACAACTTTGAGGGAATCGGCCAAGCAAGACTTTAATGAGACTCTGGTACCAGGTTGTACTCATATTCAGGAAGCAGTCCTGCAGGGACGCCAAGACCAGCAACACGTCACGCCATAATCTCACACGTTAATGATTTTCAAGTCTAACTATGACATCACAGAACTCTTTCCTGTCCAAAATAACACAGCGATAAGTTTCAGGACTGGCGTGGCCCCTTCCTGCACCGTCAGAAAAAAAAAAAAGGTCCTAAATTTGTACTGTACCTTACAGCGTCCAATGGCTTGCCATTGTGGCAAGAGGACACTGATTTTAACCCTTAACCGGGAAAATATTAGGGCGGTTCTCACCAGCTGGGGGTCGATGTCCCCGACAGAGCGGCTCTGGACAGACCCCAGCAGCTCCTCCAGCTCGCAGAAGGACAACTTGGTCAGCTTCAGCTTGTCCAGTGCCAGGTGCTCGCCGTGGAACAGCCTCCTCCACAGGTTGTCGCGACGGCAGTGCCCCATGGCTTCCTCCACGCTGGCCTGGATCTGAGGGCGGTCCCCCATGGCTTCCTCCACGCTGGCCTGGATCTGCCGGCGGGCGGCGGCCACCTCACTGTTGAGCAGTGGGAACAGCGGGGACGGGTCGAGCAATCCCTGGTACCGGACGGCGGCGCCCACCAAAGGATAGAACTCATTGCCGTCGCTGGGCGTGCAGGCCTCGGACCCGGACCTGGTGGGTTCTTCCCAGAGGTCCCGCTCGCCGCTGGGGGACGTGCAGGCCTCCGCTCGATCCAGGGCGGGGCGTCCGCCCAGCTCGCCGGGCTCACGGTGGATCGGAGGAAGCTTCTTGAAGCGCCGCATGTCAGCTGTGAGACGGGGGAAGAGCTCACGCTGGCTCGTCATGATCACGTAGAAGTGCAACCTGCACACACACACTTTGGTCTTCAAGGGGGAGGTTTCTGGAAAATGGCGTTTCATTGTCCTGTATACAAATAGTCGTGCCCACCCACCAAGTCCAAACTTCAGGAAATCGTTTGTGAAATGATCATTTGCGAAAACGTGTCTCCGAACGAGACACTCAGAATTTGATCAACTTGTGACATCCCAGCAGGCCATTTCACACGTCTGCCCCCACACCGATTTTCTCTCAGGAAGATTCCAACAACCCAGCTTCAATCGGCTTCTCCTACCTCAGCAAGTGTCTCTCTCCCTCCGACTGTTCCTCAAAGGGAGCAGCATTGTGACACACCACCAGTGAAACGTCAAAGTCGTCATGGTGATGAAGGCCCTCCAGGTCCTTGTAAGAACCCGAGCTGGAGCAGGGAAAGAATTCCGACTCAAGTCAGGCAGCTCGGGCGTTTGCGGCGGGGGCGCTTGCTCTACCTGTTCCACAAGGCGACCAGAGCGTATTCGTGCTGGTCCGGCGCGGCCTTCTTGGCCTCGGTGGTGACGGCGGCCTTGGACATGCGCAGGGGCTTCATGCCGTACATGCTGGCGTGGTCGGTGATGTAGTTGTACAGCTGATGGGCCGTGATCATCCTCGTGGAGGTGGAGAAACTCCCTTGATCAAAGGATGGCAGGAGGATCATCAGGAAGCCCACGAGAAGCATCTTAAAGCTCCCACCCCACAGAATATGGACGCGGTTTCAAGTGTCACTTTTGTGCCAGCAGCAAATGTTTTAAACTTTACTAGGAAACCAAAATAAACTGTCTTCCAAATGATTTAGCACGTAGGATCGCAGAAAGGGCTGTGATTGGCTGGCAAGCAGTTCAGGGTGTCCCCCGCCTACTGCCCGAAGATAGCTGGGGTAGGGTTCCAGGACAACCAAAATGGTGCCCACACCCACTCTGATGGTTTTTTGAAAATTGTTGCACAAATACCCAAATGGAAATCGGTCGCCGCGCTTTTGGCCTATATTCCCCGGATTATAAGGGATACCATCTACAATTTGGCCTCAAGAAATCGTGTAAGGTGGTTTGGCAAATCAAATGCGTGTGCGATAAGTTTGGGGTAAATAGGGATATTGGTAATAGACCCATTTCAATAGGTTCAATACACTATCGGGCCTTATACCAAGGCGTCGTTTTGATATTCGGAATTCGGTGCTTGGAATTTTTGGATATTGAAATGTCAAAAGGATCTTTCCTTACTACTGAAACCGCCTATTTAGTGGGACATACTGGATTCGAACCAGTGACCTCTGCCCTGTCAAGGCAGCGCTCTAAACCAACTGAGCTAATATCCCATGGGGCGTCAAATATCGTAAAAATGTTACCAATCGCCATACTCGGCCGCATTCTTTTGTGTTTCATGTAGCGTAATGTGAAGCTGGCGACCCATTTGCAGTTTGGGTTTTAGAATATCGTAGATAATCTTTACGAAATTCTCGGTCGAGGGCATAATACCTTCAAATTCCACACAGTCTTCATTCAGGTTTTTATGATCGAATCGTTCTTCTATC